CATACGTTGTAGGGGCCCACCTGAGGCGCATGTACACACAAACGCGCCTCAGCAGCAGCTGCTGCAGCAACAGCAAATGCAGCAGCAGCAGCAGCAACCGCATGTGTAGCAGCAGCAGCAGCAGCAGGAGTTGCAGGGCTCCGAGAGAGCAGTGAGAGGTGCAGAAGCGTAGGCAGCAGAGGCGGCAACAGCAGCAGCAGCAGCAGCAGCAGCAGCAGGAGCAGCAGCAGCAGCAGCAGGTGGACAGCAGCAACCGCAGCTTACGGGGGAGAAGAGGACATCCCAAGGAGAGGCATCGCTGGAGTGCTGCTGCCACTGAACCTTAGGGAAAACCGCCTGCAGCAGCAGCAGCAGCAGCAGCAACAGCAGCAGCAGCAGCAGCAGCAGCAGCAGCAACAGCAGCAGCGGCAACAGAACAGCAGCAACTTCCTTCTGTCTTTCTTCGCCCAAGAAAATCTTAACAAATTAAATAAAATATTTAAGATCTGTTGTTTCAGGTCTCACACCGAGGGTTTAGGGTTTAGGGTTTAGGGTTTAGGGTTTAGGGTTTAGGGTTTAGGGTTTAGGACCTTAATGTCTGTGCAGAATTTGGGGTGTCGGGCGCAGAACCAAACAGAGAGAGAACCTCTCATTGTAAACAAAGACAACGCGTATGCTAGCAGCAGCAGCAGCAGCAGCAGCAACACTTGCTGCTGCTGCTGCTGCTGCTGCTGCTGCTGCTGTCGGCTGCGGCTGGTCCAGTGCTCTCGAACCGCTGGTCCCCAGCAGCAGCAGCAGCAGCAGCGGCTGCTGCTGCTGCTGCTGCTGCTGCTGCTGCAATTTATTTTATTGAAATTTAATTAAAATGATTTAATTAATTATTAATAAAAAATATAAAACAAATTTGTTTAAGGTATCAGCTAAGCTCATCCTACTGGCGCTGCTGACGACACCGTGCTGCTGCTGCTGCTGCTGCTGCTGCTGCTGTTGCTGCTGCTGCTACTACTGCGGACGCAGCCTCACACCTTCTCACCTGCAGCATCAGCACGGGTGCTGCTGTGTTAGAGTACTGGCTTCGCTGCTGCTGCTGCTGCTGCATGCACTGCTCTCTCAGCTGCCGCGGCTGCAGCGGTGTGGGGCCCCCCTAGCTGCTGCTGCTGATGCCAAGGGGCTGTACACAACTGCAGCAATGCAGCAGCAGGTGCAGCAGCAGGTGCAGCAGCAGCTGCTGCTTCTGTACGTGTTGCAGCAGCAGCAGCTCCTGCTGCTGCTGTACGCAGCAGCGAGGCGGCGCTGATCAGCTCCGCAGCAGCAGCAGCAGCAGCAGCAACAACAGCAGCAACAGAAAAAGGACAGCGACAGCTGCTTGGCACCAGCAAGCACTATGTAGGGATCTATTCACTGCAACTGCAGCAGCAGCAGCAGCAGCAATCGCAGCAGCAGCAGCAGCAGCAGCAGCAGGAAGATCACGAGCAGAAGAAGCATTTAAAATGTGTCTTTTTCTGTATCCTGCTGCAGCAGCCCCAAGGCAGCAACGAGGAGTTCTTTGTCTGAAGGTAGCTGCTGCTGCTGCTGCTGCTGCTGCTGCAGCTGCTGCTCTAGAGTGTACGTACAGCCAACCCTAAGTGCTGTGGTGGCAGCAGCAACAACAGCAGCAAATGGAACTGCAGCAGCATCGGCTTTAGCCGCCCCTGCAGCAGCAGCACTACCAGCAGCAGCAGCAGCAGCAGCAACCCCCCCTGTCTCTTCTACTGTCTCTTGCCAGCTCCTCAGGTACGCAGCAGCAGACAGCAGCAGCAGCTCGTCGCTCACCCCCACCAGCTGCTGCAGCCCCCTGCTGCTGCTGACATGCACTCGCTGCAGCACATGAATTGCTGCTAGCAACGGCGGCACCAACGCGCAAGTCAGCTGCTGCTGCTGCTGCTGTTGCTGCTGCTGCTGCTGCTGCTGCAGCTGCTGCTGCAGCACTGCATGCTCGTTCAGGAGGTGTGGGGTCGATAGAGACAGCAGCCGGCGTACAGTACCGAGCAGCTTGCTGCTGCTGCTGAGGTGTACATGCAGCTGCGCATATGTTAAAGACAAGGCCCCTTCTGTCTCCGCCAGGCTGCAGGCCAGAGCCACCCGCTGCTGCTCCGTTCGTGCTGCACTTAAACACACTGCTGCAACAATACCCTGCAGCAGCAGCAGCAGCAGCAGCAGCAGCAACACACGCAGCAGAAGGCAGGCGGAACGATGCAGCTCCAACAGCATCACCAACACCGAAGGAGAGACAGCAGCAGAAGCAGCAGCAACAGCAACACCAGCAGCAGCAGCAGCAGCAGCAGCAGCAGCAACAGCAGCAGCAGCAGCAGCAGCAGCACCTGCAGCAGATGAAGACAAACACCCTTTGCTTCGATGTCACTGAGGGGGGGAGGCAGCAGCGAGAGATACTGCTGCTTCAGCTGCAGCACAGCTCTCTCAAGCATGCGCATACACCGCAATTCTCCCTGCTGCTGCTGCTGCTGCTGCTGCTGCTGCTGCTGCTCCAGCTGCTGCACCTCAATAGGCAGCACAGCAAACACCTGCTGATACACCTCAGTGAGAGGGGGACCCAAAAAGAACTGCTGCATCAACGCCCTCTGCGCACCCACAAACCCTAAACCCTAAACCCTAAACCCTAGACGTATACCCTAAACCCTAAACCCTAAACCCTAAACCTAGTCCCTAAACCCTAAACCCTAAACCCTAAACCTAGACCCGAGAAGTGCGATCTACCCTTACACTCAGCCTGATACCCCAAACCCTAAACCCCAAACCCTAAACCCCAAACCCTAAACCCCAAACCCTAAACCCTAAACCCTAAACCCTAAACCCTAACCTTGACGGTATCCATCTCCTTGAATGCATTAAGGTTCTGCAGCGCCGCTGCTGCTGCACCTTCGGGGCTGGCTGGCCCCTTCTGAGCTGTACATACACCCCACAACGCATGCATGCAGCAGCAAGCAGCAGCAAACCACAGTCAAAAAAAAAAAAGAAACGGCAGCAGCAGCACCAACAGCAGCAGCAGCAACAACAGCAGCAACAGCAACTGCAGCAGCAGCAGCAACTGCAGCAGCAAGTGCAGCAGCTTGCCTGCTTGTTTTGTGCGTTGCACCAGCAAAGAGAAAAGGCTGTAGCTTCTCGCCAATGAAAGACGAGCAGCAGCAGCACTCCTCTGCAGCGGCAGCAGCAGCAGCAGCAGTAGCAGCACAAGCAGCAGCAGTAGCAGCAGAAGCAGCAGCAGAAGCAGCAGCAGAAGCAGCAGGAGCACGAATGTAAGCATAATAAATATACGGACCCCAAAGACAACAAAGCCAATCGCCCGCTACGGCTGTACAGATGCACCCCTTACTGCATTCACTGCTGCTGCTGCTGCTGCTGTTGCTGCTGCTGCTGCTGCTGCTGCTGCTGCTGCTGCTCTTACGCTGTGCTGCAGTGTGTCGTCAAAGAGAGAAGACGGCTCTGCTGCTGCTGGCGGTATTTGGAGGACGCAGAGCCAAGTAAACAGACACAGAGAACTCTCGCATGCAGCACAAGCCTGCAGCAGCAGCAGCAGCAGCAGCAGCAGCAGCAGCAGCAGCATGAGCAGCAGCAGCATCGTCGTCACCAGCAGCAATGGCAGGCGCAGCAGCTGCAGCTGCAGCATCACCAGCAGCAACGGCAGGAGCAGCAGCAGCAGCACCAGCAGCACCAGCAGCAACGGCAGGAGCAGCAGCAGCAGCACCAGCAGCAGCACCAACGGCAGGAGCAGCAGCAGCAGCAGCAGCAGCAGCAGCAGCATATTAGTACCTCCTGAAGCAGCGGCTCCCCCGCCACCTGTGCAGCAGCAATGTGCTGCAGCAGCTGCCGCAGGAAGGCGCGGAGATCGCCAGCAGTGGGCAGCACATTGCTGCTGCTGCTGCTGCTATTGCTGCGTATCTTCTGCAGCATGCTGCTGCTGCTCGAATGCTGCTGCTGCTGTTGCTGCTGCTGCTGCTGCTGCTGTGCTTTCTGCAGCAAGTCAGCAGCAAACAGCAGCTGCAGCATATCCTCTTCAATGCTGCTGATGCGCTGTCTATACACCGCAACCAAATCCCCCAGGCTGCCCATCAGCTGCGTCTCCTGAGACTTTGCTGCAGCAGCAGCAGCAGCAACAGCAGCAGCAGCAACAGCAGCAGCAGCAACAGCAGCAGCAGCAGCAGGGCAGGAGATGCACACCTTCACCCATATTGTGTGCTTACACAGCAGCAGCAGCCGAAGCAGCAGCATGACGACAGTAGCAGCAGCAACCGCAGCAGCAGCTGCACCAGCAGAAACAAGAACAACAGCAGCAGCAGCAAGACAAACAGCAGCAGAAGCAGCAGCAGCAGCAGCAGCAGCAGGAACTTACACAGGGGAGGGAGGGGAGCCCCTGCTGCCTCTGCGCGTCTCCATCGCAGCAAGAAGGACTGCAGCAGCAGCAGCAGCAGCGGCGTGCAATCAACCAGACACCAAGCAGCAGCTTCATCTACATTTTGCTGCAGCAGCAGCAGACGTGCTGCTGCCCTATGCTGCGCGAGCAGCTGCGGATCCGCATGGTGCTGCTGCTGTTGCTGCTGCTTCTGCTGCTGCTGCTGCTGTTGCTGCTGCTGCTGGGGCTGCTGCTGCAGTTGCTGCAGCAGCTGCTGCAACGGCCTGCTGCGGGCTGTCAGCTGCCTGCAGCAACTCTTCAGGTGTACAGACACCCGGCGCAGCAGCTCTGCTGCAGCAGAAGAGACAAACCCCCGCTGCTGCAGCCACTCCCCCATACTAACATCCGCAAAGGGAGAGAAGTCAGGGCTAGACAACACCTGCAGCAGCAGCAGCAGCAGCAGCAACAGCAGCAGCAGCAGCAGCAGCAGCAGCAACAACAGCAGCAGCAGCAGCAGCAGCAGCAGCAACAACAGCAGCAGCGCAAGCAGCAGTAAAAGGAACAATAGAAAGAGCGGCTGCAACTGCTGCAGCAGCAACCGGAAGCTAAGAAGGTAGCAGCAGCAGCAGCAGCA